TGGTAAAAATCCACTTGTTGATGGATAGTAACTCTTGCCTGGTGCTAATCCCTCTTCAAGAGGAGGACAAGCCTCCATGCACAAAAAGGTTTGTGTGTTGTCACCCCCCACTCCCCACTTCTGGTTTATTTGAAATTAGCATTTTCAGTTTGGATCCAGAGGATAATCTCCAAGAGGTCATTCAGATCTGGTACAGAAGCAGAGCGCACTGGTGGTGTTTAGTTGTGTTGGTGTATGCAAACAGCCGATTCACATATGTGTGCAGCTGCACCTGCAATAATTACCCAAATCCATGCTCTTAATAAAAAATAAAAACTGAGTGATGGAGAATTTAAGATAATGCAATGACAGAAACACACAGAAAATTAAAACAATACAAGTTTGATTCCAGATGCTACCGCTACTTAATGAAAATTACTCTTTATAGAGTTATAACAACTCCACATACAAGAATTGGTAACTCCGTGATTACAGGAGGTGTCACCTCCAACAGATACATGCCATGAAAAAGCTGGACAGATTCCCCACTATCAAAAAAAAATACACAAATTTGTCCATTTTGTTGGAGGAACATCCACACAGACAAGAACCAAGGAAGCATCAAATGAGCTAAATAAGTGAGGTGCCCACCACCACTCAAGTCACAGCATCTCTGAGAGCATGGAGAAGAGCCCCAGGTCTGTGCAGGAGCACACCGGGGAGCTGAGCTAGATGGATTGGCAGACCATGAGTATTCAGATTTCCACATTAAGTGAGTGAAAACTGTTATTTCTAGCTGAAGAGGCTGGTGTCAAGATAATTCTGTGAAGATCTGGCACTGAAACTTTCCATCTTATGATGCTTGGCATATGCATTGAGCTGCTGATACCACCAGGAGCTCAGACCTTGAGCAAAGTCCGTATCTGGGAGACTCCTGGATTACAAGGACCATGAGTAGCATGGCCAGGTAGAAACAAAACTGATGTCTGCAGGGACTTTAGAGTTACTTAAGGGCTATTCCCAGTGCTCATTTGATTGCCAGTGGCAAAAGCTGCAGTAAAAGCTCAAGGTCAGACTTCTGTCATTTCTCTCGTGAGACATGCACTGCAGTAAGGGTTAGAACTGGCTTGGCTTAAAAAAAAGAGGAATAAAAGCAGAACATGACTGTCCAACACACAGAATGTTGTACCCTTCCTTACACAACTTCAGTGCATGGAATAAATCACAGCCAAGATCCAATGTGAGGAAGTTTTATTAAAAGACAACAACAAACCCAAAAAACTAAATAAATAAACCAACCCACAAAGACCCCTCAAACAAGTACCTGTATCTTTTAAACCAGCACTGTCAACAGAAGAAGAAATCTGACCATCTCTCTTGCTTGTACTAGCACAAACAAATGTGGTACAACACATTGGTGACTTGGTTAAAACTGGACTGCTTTAAAACAAACAAACAAAAAAAATTCCCCACAACCCAAAGCCCAGTTGGTTTTAGACCCCATCAGTTCCCCAGTCTGTGCTGACAAGCAGCCACACAAACACCCACGGCCAGGAGAGAACCCTCCCTCCAGCTGCCGAGCCTGCGAGCGGGGCTGCAGACCTTCTGGTGCTTGCAGATTTCCTTGCCCAAGTTAGCAAAGCGCGAGTCAGACTGAAAAGCAGATTAGAGGCCAAATTCAAAATCAGTACGAGATGGAAGAGTTTACGTAAACTTTCAGATGAGCTTTTTATAGCCTCTCAAAGTTTTGTCCCAGATCACAAGCTGTTAGTCTCAAAACGAACTGTGCTGTTGGAAACAAAACCATTTCAAGAAGTCAGTAACAGATACAAGAAGCAAACTTGAAATTTAGCCTAGAACACACAGAAGCCAGAGAATGCAGAAAAGTACACAGCAATGGGAGAGCTGGGAAACCAGGCCTTCAAGTCACCTAGACAAAACTGCCCCAGGAGGCCCCCAGGAGAGGTTTTGAGCTGGTCAGATAAAGACGGGGAACTCTGCAATGCCTCAGCAATCACATTCGTCAGATTTTCTCCAATATACAGACATTCAAGCAAAAATGCTCCACATACCCTATTTCCCCTCAAAAGCTTGCTTTGTTACCTTACCAACAGAGGAATTATTTCCTTCTGAACAGTTATCAGTTTTAGAGTAAGCTTTCCCTTCCTAACTTATTTATGAGAATAAGCACATTCTAGGCCAACACCATCCATAAAAATACGTTTAGCAACCTTTTGCTTCTGTTTTGATTTCAAGAAATTATACTTAACCTAAGGAGGTAAGAAAAAAGTTTCCTGTTTCTCAGAGCCATAGATTTAAGACACGTGAGCAAATAGGCATCACAAATGCAGCACAGAGAACACACAAACCCAGAAATCCCTTTTCCACAGCTCTGCGCTACTTATGACTGAGCAAACCTCCTGAATGCAATTTAAAGCCAGCGGGTATGAGGGCTTGACCTTACCAGCTCATCATTTTCATTGGTAACACCATATGTCAATTAAACATTTTAACACCTTCTCCTTAATCACACTTCCTTCTAGATCATCCTAAGAGGAGCTGCTGCTGTCCTGCTCTCTTCTGACCGTCTGTTTAATAAAATGAATGATAGAGAAGATCATCACGCACTTTTTTAAACATGAGTCCTCTCATGAGAGACAGTTCTTCATGAACTGCCCCAGCATGAGTCTCTCCATGGGGGGCAGTTCTTCAGGGGAAGCTGCTCCAGCACGAGTCACAGAAGTCCTGCCAGCCAGCCTGCTCTGGCGTGGGCTTCCCTCTCTCCATCGGCTA